GTGGGCATTACAGGTATTGATAAGACATAGGACTTTGTCCTTGTTTGGAAAGACTAAAGGACAGATGCTGAAGTCTTATGCATGGCAGGGAATTGGATTGAATGGCCCTTGTGGTCTCTTTCAACTCTTCTGATTCTAAGAACTATTACTACAACATACCAGACCACAGTTACCTTGGTCTCCTCAGTTTCATGATTGTATGGTTTGGGATGGCAGGAAGGAAACAACTGTACACTTCATAGCTACAGTACTGTAAAAACTCCTACCATTCCTTATAGTAGCGGTTGTTTCTTCTATCACTGCTCTTGCAAAGTTTAATCTGGTATGTGTGTGTGTACATATATATTAGAAGGGAGTAAGGTTTTATGGAAGTCAACATTGCTTTAGGCCAGTGCTTCTCAACTTTCCTAATGCTGCGACCCCTCAATACAGTTCCTCATGTTGTGGTGACCCTCAACTATAACATTATTTTCGTCGCTACTTCATAACTGGGTTGCTGTAAGTTTTTCGGGCTGTATGGCCATGTTCCAGAAACATTCTCTCCTGATGTTTTGCCTGCATCTTCATAACTGTCATTTTGCTACTGTTATGAATTGTAATGTAAATATTGGGGTTGGGGGGGGGGGGTGATTTGTCATTTGTGAGCTGTAGTTGCTGGGATTGATAGTTCGCCTACAATCAAAGAGCATTCTGAACAACCACCAATGATGGAATTGAACCAAACTTGGCACACAGAACTCCCATGACCAGTAGAAAATACTGGAAGGGTTTGATGGACATTGACCTTGAGTTTTGGAGTTGTAGTTCACCTACATCCAGAGAGCACTGAGGACTCGAACAATGATGGATCTGGACCAAACTTGGCACAAATGCTCAATATGTCCAAATGTGAACCCTGGTGGAGTTTGGGGAAAACAGACCTTGACATTTGGGAATTGTAGTTGCTGGGATTTATAATTCACCTACAATCAAAGAGCCCATTGAACCCCACCAATTATACAATTGGGCAAAACAACCTACACAGAGCCCCCATGACCAACAGAAAACACTGGAGGGATTTGGGAGGAATTGACAGTGATTTAGGGGAGATGTAGTTCACCTACCTCTGGAGAGCACTGTGAACACAAATGACTATGGATCTGGACCAAATCTGACACCATGCTGCCATGCACGGAGCACGCCTGCTCTCCCCTCCCTGCTTGGAGTCTCAGAAACAGCCCTCCCCTTGGCTGAGAGACCGGCCAAACAGAGCAGGAACAGGGCTTTTGGATTCAACAGTTTCCAAAAAGGAAGAGAAGGGCAAGTGGAGAGATTTTCAGACTTCTCTACCAAAGAGATTCCTAAGACAATTAGAAATATGTGTTTTCCGATGGTCTTTGGTGACCCCTCTGAAACCTCCCTCACGACCCCCAGATTGAGAAATGCTGCTTTAGGTGACACATACACTTTACTCAGTTTGTTAGATCCATTTCACGCTATACAATTATGGTGCTATGATTCTTTTGTCCCCCCCCCAAAAAAAAACCCCCCAAAAAAACAACAACAAGCATTTATTCACAGCCTGCAAGCAAGAGGTGCCTGGCAATCATTTGCAATGCAAGCACACCATCTACTTATTTACAAGCTTTTTAAAAAGCTTTCTAACTAACAGCATGTTGCTATCTGATGGGTTGTTTGCCACCTGCCTTGGCATAAGTTGATTGGCTCCACGACCAGCAAGAAAAAAATTACACCCAATAAATGTATAGACTCTGTTAAAACATTCCAGAGCAAATTATCCCAGAAAGTCCATTTACAAATCAAGTTCCACAAGGGCTTGATTTCTGTATAGCACACAGGGGGGGGGGGGGGAATGGAGGCATCTTTGTGTGTCCATTAGACTGACGAAAGATCGCCTCCTCTATGGAAATATCTGTTTAGTTTGTGTATGCATTTGCACTCCGTGCCAACAATAATGGCAAACTTCATTTCCCTTAATGAAGTACATACTATGAATAAGCCTTTTATAACTCAGCCAAATCAAATATCAGGGAGTTCGGTAATTTTGGAGTTGAGGCAATGAATCCTGGCCAGATTTCAGCTGTCCATCAACCTCAGCTAGAAAGGGTTGTTCAGCAAAATGACAGATGAACTGATTAGGACACTGGAGCATGCAATTCCCTGACTAGTCTGCAGGAAACAGTTTTATATGCCACTAGTTGCGTACTGTATAAAGATTGGCTGGTATGGAAGATAAAGAAAAGCCATTGGTTTACAACTATGTCTAGTTATTTGAAATACTCTGTTGCAGACAATTCTAAACTGTGTTGTTGCAACATATTAATGTTGTATATATAAAAACTAAAGGTTTCACAAGATACGTTGTGTCCTCATAAATTTCATTATTGCAATCTATGTGACTGTATCTCTTATAAGGGGTTTGTTTAATCACTAGTTTGCTAGGAAAGCTGAATTAATTTTGGATTGTTGTTTTTTGGGCTGTATGACCATGTTCCAGAAGCATTCTATGCTGACGCTTCACCTGCATCTATGGCCGGCATCTTCAGAGGTTCCATTGGCAGTGAAGCAAGTGCAATGTATATATACTTATGGAATAACATCCAGGGTGGGAGAAAGGGTCTTTGTCAGTTTAAAGCAATTGTGAATGTTTCATTTAGCAGGCTTGAATAGTATGAAGCTGCATAGTCAATTATTGAGTGTATCTGCCTAGAAGTAGTCTGGCCTTTGTTCCCTGGAAGCATCCTCTGTTTAGGTGTTAACTGGCCTTGGATTGGGTTGCTGTGAGTTTTTCAGGCTGCATGGCCATGTTCCAGAAGCACTCTCTCCTGACATTTGGCCCACAACTATGGCAGGCATCCTCAGAGGTTTTGAGATGTGTTGGAAACTAGGTATATGATGTTTATATATCTGTGCAGTGTCCAAGGTGGGAGAAAGAACTCTTGTCTATTTAAGGCAAGAGTAAATGCTTCTGTTGGTCACCTTGATTAGCATTGAACAGCGCTGCAGCTTCAAAGCCTGGTTGCTTCCTGCTGGGGGGATCCTTTGTTTGTTTCTTGTTGTCTAGAATCCCCGTGTTACTGAGTGATGTTCATAATTTACTATTTTGAGTCTGGTGTTTTTTAAAATACTGGTAGCCAGATTTTGTTCATTTTCGCTGTTTCCTCCTTTCTGTTGAAATGATTCACGTGCTTGTTGATTTCAATGGCTTCTTTGTGTTGTCTCACATGGTGGTTGTCAGAGTGGTCCATCATTTCTGTGTTCTCAGATAATATTCTGTCTCCGAGTTGGTTCATCAACTGACCTCTCTGGCTGTCTACATAGGGACCACCAAACACAGCATTGCCCTGACATAAATCAAAGCACACTGGAAGGCCTGCAGACAGATTCACCTGGCCATGAAAGCCTTTGACAATAGAATCATAGAATTGGAAGAGACCTCGTGCACCATCCAGTCCAATCCCCTGCCAAGAAGCAGGAAAATCACATTCAAAGCATCCCTGATGAATGGCCATCCAGCCTCACACTCCGGGGCAGAGAGTTCCACTGTTGAACAACTCTCACACTAGTTCTTCCTAATGCTCAGGTGGAATCTCTTTTCCTGTGGTTTGAAGCCATGGTTCCACGTCCTAGCCTCCAGGGCAGCAGAAAACAAGTTGCTCCCTCCTCCCTATGACTTCCCCTCACATATTTATACATAGAATCATAGAATCAAAGAGTTGGAAGAGACCTCATGGGCCATCCAGTCCAACCCCCTGCCAAGAAGCAGGAATATTGCATTCAAATCACCCCTGACAGATGGCCATCCAGCCTCTGTTTAAAAGCTTCCAAAGAAGGAGCCTCAACCACACTTCGGGGCAGAGAGTTCCACTGCTGAACGGCTCTCACAGTCAGGAAGTTCTTCCTCATGTTCAGATGGAATCTCCTCTCTTGTAGTTTGAAGCCATTGTTCCGCGTCCTAGTCTCCAGGGAAGCAGAGAAAAAGCTTGCTCCCTCCACCCTGTGGCTTCCTCTCACATATTTATACACGGCCATCATGTCTCCTCTCAGCCTTCTCTTTTGCAGGCTAAACATGCCCAGCTCTTTAAGCCGTTCCTCATACGGCTTGTTCTCCAGACTCTTGATCATTTTGGTACATTGAATTAAAGTTGTTCAGCAGTGGAATATGGAATCTGGTGGAGTCTCCTTTGCAGGAGGATTTAAAAGCAGAGGGGGCATGGTCATCTGTCGGGAGTGCTTTGATTGTGTTTTCCTAAATGATGAATGTCTCAAAAATGTGTCGCCAACATGAAATGAATGGAAAGCTCTGATCTATTAGATACCGAGTTAAAAGTTAAGCAAAGTGATAATAATAATAATAATAATAAAAATGCATTTAAATCATGAGCCCAAATAACTTACAGCAACCTAGTAATTGTATTGTCGAAGGCTTTCATGGCCTGAATCACTGGGTTGTTGTAGGTTTTTTGGGCTGTACGGCCATGTTCCAGAAGCATTCTCTCCTGACGTTTTGCCTGCATCTGTGGCAAGCATCCACAGAGGTTGTGAGGTCTGTTGGAAACTAGGAAAATTATATATAAACCCAATTTTCTAATTTTCCTAGCTTCCAACAGACCTCATAACCTCTGAGGATGCCTGCCATAGATGTGGGTGAAACGTCAGTAGAGAATGCTTCTGGAACATGGCCATACAGCCCAGTATATTCACAGCAACCCAGTGAGGCCATGAAAGCCTTGGACAACACAAAAGGGGTAACGATCTCCCATCTCTAATGTAATATAAATAAACCCCAACAAAACGTTTCAGCTAAAAGGTATTTCTTTTGCCCCATTTGCTTTCTATGTCTCTTCCAGGCTGGGTCTTGAGAAAAGCCAACAACACAGTAAGGGCACGGAGAACGGGAAGCTACACGGCTGTGGCTTCACTTACTCGCTTTGCGCATGCGCGCCGGACCGCCTGGTGGACGCGCTAGTCACGTGACACCCCGAGGTTTCAATATGGCTGCGCCCATGAGCTGCTGCCAGTCTTCGCTTGCTGTCTTTACAGCGTGGAGCTGAGTCCTGCCTACACATGGACCGGGGAGATTTCTTGGTTTCCTTGACGGTGAGTGAAAGAGATCCTGGAGGCGAGAACTATGTTGCTAGATATGATTATAGATAGAGAGAAAGAAAAAATAAAAATTCAAATTGTGAAGCTTTGCAGTTTGTAAAGAGAGAATGAAGATTTCGTTTTTAAAGGTGTATCTGTAGAATGAACGCAGTTCGACGCCACTTTAACTTCCATGGTTCAAGGCAATGGAAATCTGGGATTTATAGTTTGGTAGAGAAGGTTATAAAGACCTTGATAAACTACTGATTCCATTATTCCATAGCATTGACCCACGGGAGTTTAAGTGGTGTCATAGAATCATAGAGCTGGAAGAGACCCCGTGGGCCATCCAGTCCAACCCCCTGCCAAGAAGCAGGAAAATCGCATTCAAAGCATCCCCGACAGATGGCCACTCAGGCTCTGTTTAAAAGCTTCCAAAGAAGGAGCCTCCGCCACACTCCGGGGCAGAGAGTTCCACTGCTGAACAGCTCTCACAGTCAGGAAGTTCTTCCTAATGTTCAGATGGAATCTCCTTTCTTGTAGTTCATTGTTCATTGTTCTTCTTGAAGCCATTGTTCAGCGCCCTAGTCTCCAGGGCAGCAGAAAACAAGCTTGCTCCCTCCTCCCTATGACTTTCTCTCACATATTTATACATGGCTATCATGTCTTCTCTCAGCTTTCTCTTCTTCGGGCTAAACATTGCAAACATTGTGTCAAATTGCATTCATTCTAAAGTATTGATGCACCTATAGATTGTTGTAAAATATTATTATTATTATTATTATTAAACTTTATTTGTACCCCGCTAGCATCTCCCGAAGGATTCGATGCGGCTTACACAGGTCGAGGCCTCAACACACAACACAACAATACAATCTAAGCAAATCAAACAATTAAAAACAGTAAAATAGTCTGGAAACAAAGGGAAAGCAAATATTTGTTTCAGTTTGCTGTGATGCTTTTGGTCCTACAAGGCCTTTAAATCTGAAAGAAAGCTTGTGGATGAGTTAAAAGTTGGTTTTTGATTGAAAGGGCCTACAGATCCAGGACCTATCCAGACAGGCCCAAAATCCCAGGATCTGATCCCAGGATTTCTGCTTTAAACATGATTATATGAGACCACACTGCCTGATAATCTGGGATAAATAGAAAACCTGGGATCAGATCCTGGGATATAGGGCCTGTCCGGAAGGGCTCTCAGCCGTATGTTTTTGGGGTTTTTCTTAGGCATAGAATACTGGGTTTCCCCACATTTCTTCCACTGAAATATGAGCAACAACATCTGGTATACATTCGTGGCCTCCCATCCAAGTAATAATAATAATAATAATAATAATAATAATAATAATAATAAATAAATAAGCTCTGCTGGTTAGTCTCAGTATTATGTGGTTTATTTATACCTTGGTTGTGAAAGTACTCACAGGGTGCATCTACACTGTTGAATTAATACAATTTGATGCCACTTCAACTACCATGCTTTGATGCTATGGTTATTATGGGAGTTGTAGTGTTATAAGGTCTTCAGACTTTTCTGCCAAAGAGTGCTGCTACCTCATCAAACTACAAATCCCAACATTCCATAGCATTGAGCCATGGCATTAAAAGTGGTGTCAAACTACATTGATTATCCGGTGGATATGCACCCTTAGATGTCTTTGTTATTCCTTAGAGTAGTCTACCAATATCTGAGTTTCTGCGAAAATGTAGTTTTTTGAAATGCTAGTTTGGTGGTGGGATGTTATTTTGATGTGGTATTTTATTTTAAGGCCAGATTTTATAAAATATGATGGATACCACCATAATGAATCAGATTTGTCAACACCAAAATTAATTGTTGAACATATGGAAAGATTAACAGCATAGCCCTAAGCTTATTCACTCCGAAATGTCCCTGTAAATTCAGTGGAATGTGCTGTTTTATAGTTCTATGACACTCAGGGCAGATTTGCTAGCAATATGCAAACCATAAGCAACATCCATCTGAACATTAGGACCCCTTCTACACAGCTGTATAAAACCCAGATTATCTGCTTTGAACTGGATTATATGGCAGTGTAGACTCAGATAATCCAGTTCAAAGCAGATAATGTGGATTATCTGCTTTGATAATCTGGATTATATGGCAGTGTAGAAGGGGCCTAGGAAGAACTTCCTGACTGTAAGAGCTGTTCAACAATGGAACTCTCTGCCTCAGGTGGTGAAAGCTCCATCTTTGGAGGTTTTTAAACAGAGACTGGATGGCCATCTGTTGGGGGTACTTTGATTGTGCTTTTTCCTCTATGGCAGGGGTTGGACTGGATGTCCAATGCAGTCTCTTCCAACTATGATTCCATGATTCTATGATCCCTATACACTCAAGATATATATTCAGAGAGAGGGGGGGGGGAATGATGACTGAAATATTGTTGGCTAGTTTCAACTAGAGTAAAACCACTAAATCAGTCATTGACTGAAGATCTAACATTTAGTTAAATTCAATGTGTCTCTTCCCATTGCGATTAGCAACAGGATTTAGGCCTTCAGTTGCACTTCTTCCTAAACTGTGGGCTCCAACTCTTGACCCCTTAGCTTAATGTTGAGGCCCTGAAAATTTTGGCAACAGTAAAGATTTTCTGAATGCCACCTAGTGGTTGTTTTAGGCCTTTACATGAATCTGTTGTGCAGTGTTTACAGAGGACTCTACAGAATATGTAGTTCATAAAAAGGAACACTAGCCTGGTTAACAAGTTTTTCAAATGCTGATTTGTTATCAGCAAATGTTTGCTTTTTATATACCTGGAGTCATATACACATTTCTCTGGCTGAAAGGGGTCAAAAGTAAGTTTAAGTAGCCCTGGGCTGAGGAACTGATGAAACTGCCATATACTGAGACTAATTGTATGCCCATGTAGCCTTCGGCCTTTTCTGTACTGTCATATAATCCAGATTATCAAAGCAGATAATCCACATCTGCTTTGAACTGTATTATATGAGTATACACTGCCATATAATCCACTGGAGAAATTATACTATTTAGCTGGTATTACAAAACCTGACATCTGCTGGGAAGTAGCAACCAATAGTGAAAGGACCAAGGCAGTGACATCTCTGGCCCATCCCCTGTTCAGATATCAGCCAGCACGCCAGTGACTTAAACCAAGATATAGCTTTCTAAGATCTACAGAGACGCATGCTGGAACACCTCAGCAAGCGAGAGTCCAAAAGTGGCAGGCTAAAACTCAGAACCTCAATCCATGGCTGGAATGAGGCGCCCTCCCCCACACAGAAAACAGGGTGACTTGGAAGGCGCTGAACAGACTGTGCTCTGGCACCACAAGATGTAGAGATAACCTTAAGAAATGGAGCCACAAAGTGGAGTCCATGACATGCGAGTGTGGAGAAGAGCAAACCACCAGACCACCTATTACAATGCAACCTGAGCCCTGCCACATGCACAATGGAGGACCTCCTTATATCAACACCAGAGGCACTCCAAGTGACCAGTTACTGGTCAAAGGACATTTAATATAATGACCAGTTTTCAAACTGTGTGTGTGTGTGTTTTAATACAATACAACTGTACCCTTGGTTCGCTCCTGATACGATAAATAAAGGACCTAGAAATTCCTGGAAATAACACTTCTCTTGTCATTTGTAGATTTCTTCAAAGTGATTTTGTGGCTGTTGATCAGACCAAGAGATTTGTAGAAAAATGTTCTCTCATTTTAAAAAACCCAGTAGGTTTGCTTTCATTTGCACCTTTCTTGGGTTATTTATTTATTTTGTATCAAAAGCATTGTATGTGTAAGTATAAAAGTGATAAAAATAGAAGGAGCTCAAGAGGCTAAATAATTTTTGACCAAAACCAGGCAACAGCGACCACATTGTCTGTAGCTTTCAACAATTCCTCCTCTGTACATGTGGCAGGGCATTGTGGGCAAGCATACAGATGCAGAGTTATCTGTTCTGTGCCACAGTCGCACAAAGTGGAGGATTTTTTTTTAGGTAGTGCAATTTTGCCAGGTTGTGTTTTGAACTGCCCATTCCACTTCTGAGTCTGTTCAGGAACTTCCATTCTTGGTTTGCACTAAGTATTATGTTATTGTTGTTTTTGAAACATCAGATGTGTTAGCGTACAACAAGTTTATTACTTATATACACAATATAAAGGTACAACTTGTCTCTATCCTGAATAAATGTCTGTATTCATATAGATTTCAAATGGGAGACATTTATATGAATATGGACATTTATTCACAATAGGGACAAGTTGTACCTTTATATTGTGTATATAAGTAATAAACCTATCGTACGATAACACATCTGATGTTTCAAAAACAATAACACAATACTTTGTGTATCTTAGTTATAGATATCTGTGTTCCAAATACATTCTTGGTTTGCCCCTGGAGGAAGACCCTCAGGGGGGACCATCCAATTGGCCCACTTTTTTGGGTGTCCTGCACTTCGAAGCCCCATTAAAGTGGAGGGCCTACTGTATACTTGAATCAAGTTACACAAGACAGGCATAACTGCTCTCTGCAAAGGTTTCTGTGTTTCAGCTTTAAGAGCTACAGTGTAGAGCTGAAGTGAGCAAAGTCCCTTTCTCTTCTTCAAAAAATCATTACTCTTTTTCCACAGATGAAACAAGAAACCAGGTATCTGCACTCTCCTGCAGATGCTCCATTAGCCACTTCATGAATTTAAATTACATTTAAGACACAGAAGTTTGAAATCCAAAGAAGCAATTAGCAACTTTTGATTCATGCTTTCGCCAGATGGCTAGATTAAAATGAGATCAATTTTCTTTTTTCTTCTTTTAATCACTTGGTACAGATAAGAATTCTGATGGAGAAGGCGCTAGAAGGATATGGGATGAGGGTGACCAAATCAATGCATGCAAAATAGCCAAGCAGATTAAAAGAGTAATTAACTTATTGACTAAAATGTTAACTGTAGCCACTGAGCACCTCTTGAATGAGTTGGAGAAGAATATCAGATCCAAGTATAGGTTTCCTTGGCTTCTGTTATCAAAGTGTTCAGGAATACTGAGAGATCTGAAATTAACTACAGTTTGCTTAATTTTTCAAAGTAAATTAACACTCGAATCTTTGGGTCCTTTACCGAAAGGACTTGCTTGTTAGCTTATCATGAGACAGTGGCATTTGAATTTTCTATATGGGAGCAAAACCCTGTAAATAAGTGAAGAAATCTTCAAAGATTACAAAGAATCTCATTCGACCATCTTCTTAAATAGCCTTTGGTCTAAACCTCCACTATCTGATTGTCTAAAATGAATTAAAGTTGTAGGCAAGAGGCCACTTAAATAGCTCCGATGTTGCTATGCATGTAACAGCAAATTCAACTTTATTGCTTCGTAATTAATGATCTAAAATACTTAACATTTCACCTGCATTTTATGGAGGTGAATTCTCTGTACAACAGAGATAAGACCTTTGATTGGAATACTTCTGAAAAGCTACTGATTGCTAGCCTGCATTGGATCATAAATAACTCATGACTAATAAGATAATCTAACTACTTGAACAGGGGCCGTTGTGGCACAGTGGGTTAAACCGCTAAGCTGCAGAACTTCCTGATCTGAAGGTTGGCGATTCGAATCCACAAACAGGGTCAGCTCCTATTGTTAACCACAGCTTCTGCCAACCTAGCAGTTCAAAAACTTGCAAATATGAGTAGGTCAGTAGGCACTGCTCCTGTGGGAAGGTAATGGCGCTTCATGCAGTCATGCTCACCACATGACCTAGGAGGTGTCTACGGACAACACCGGGTCTTCAGCGTAGAAATGGAGATGAGCGCCACCCCCCAGAGTTGGACACAACTAGACAGTGTCAAGGGGAAACCTTTACCTTTACTTTAACTACTTGAACATGAAATTCCAAAAACCACAAAATAGATAATGTTTCACAAGATAATGTTTTCTAGGCTGCCAGATTAATTAGAATTCTATTCTTTGCTGAAAATATTGTTTGGAGTTTCTATATGTGGTTATTGAGGCATCTTTGATTGAGTGTTCGATTGAGAATTTAATTTTTAACATCTTCCTCTTAAAAGAATGATTGTTTGGTTTTCATTCTGTAAAAAGAGTCTTTGCCAAGGGTACTTAGTAGTTTCATGTCTAAGCAAAAATCAGAGTTGTTCCTCTTTTTTTGTTTTTGTTTGCAGCTGCTGGATGATATCTCCCAGTTACTATTGTTGCTGTAACTTGGCCYCATCTACACTGTCATACAGGGCCGTAGCCAGAAAAAATTTCGGGAGGGGTTGAAATTTTTTTGGGGGGGTGGGGTTTGAAAATTTCACCGGTGGGGGGGGGGGAGGGTTGAATAGCCTGCAGCTCTGCCCCTGTCAACCACCTCCACCAAGTCTGGCCTCCTTAATTAGAGCATTCAATACCCCCCCCCCCAACTTGGTTGCTTCGCTACATTGGCTATTGCTGCAAATAATGACCGTGTGAATAAATTGTCAATATTTGCCTGAGATAGTGCTTGCTGTTCTGGAGGGACTCTTAATTTTTTGCATCTCATAGACTTAGCATGGGAATTGGGTTAACCAGTTAAAATTCATGAGTAAACCAGTTTTTTTTTAAATTTGAAAGATTTCGGGAGGGTAGTTTCGGTGTAGTTAAACTGCATTATATGGCAGTGTAGATGAGGTCTTTGGTTAGCCATGGCAGTTGAGGGATTTGGAGAATTTATTGACTTTGATCTACCTATCTTCAAGTACATTAACTATTGCTAGACCTTTCTCATTTTGGGGGGTTCATTTCCAATACCTAATGGCCAACAAAGTGTGTCCATTTCTTAATTGAGAAACGGATGATCTGACAAATCAATTGAGGAAAATATGTATGCTGTATATCGATTACAAAGATCAAGAACACATACAAAACTAGAAACCTATAGAGATAACACCATAGGAGGCTTCTCCTGTCAGCCCTCAGCCCACCAAAGGTAATGGAAATTAGAAGAGTCCCCCTTTCCCTTTAACCTTTCCCAGCAGTTCTGACCTTTTTCTAAGCATGCATGCATGCATGCTAAAGCCAGAGGTATTTTGTCAAAAAGAAGGGATTCGTTGGAGGTTGGTGCTCATTTTTTTTGGTCCAATCTTTCAAGGGATTTTATACTGTTTGCAGGAGATGGTAAATGCCAATGTTCTGTACTGCCGCAAGACCTCAAAATTACCTATTCTTAGTGTTCAGTTCATTCTAATTGTCTCTCTTGTTTTGATTGTCTTTTTATCTATCTGTATTTTTTTTGAAGGCTGGTGGGCTGGCTGGAGTGTCCGTTGACTTGATACTGTTCCCTTTGGATACAGTCAAGACAAGACTTCAGAGCCCTCAAGGGTTTAAGAAGGCTGGTGGTTTCCGTGGCATCTATGCTGGTGTTCCCTCTGCTGCTGTAGGGTCTTTCCCAAATGGTAAATTGCTCTTTTGTATGTTGTGTATTTGCAGTCGTTGCTGTCTAGGCATGTGAGAAACTAGCCTCGATTGTGTTGCTTTTCCCCAATCACATCTGTTTCTCTTACAAACTTTGGTTTGTATTAGGCTGCACGATATTGAGCTCTTTCACATTACACAATTGTAGCATTATGATTTTACTTTAATTGGTATAACTTCAACCTGTTGAATCCAAGAGCTTTTATTGTGATCAGACTTTAGAACTCCCTGGCTGAGAATTTTAAGTAGTTCTCCCAAAAACAGTAATGTGGAGTGAAAAATCAGTCTAGAAAATGAGTTGTAAGTTTTTTGGGCTGTATCGCTATGTTCCAGAAATATTCTCTTCTGACATTTTGCCTGCATCTGTGGCAGGCATCCTCAGAGACCTCACAACCTCTGAGGATTCCTGCCATAGATACAGGCGGAACGTCAGGAGAGAATGCTTCTGGAACATGGCTATACAGCCCAAAAAACCTTACAATAGCCCAGTGATTCCAGCCATGAAAGCCTTCGACCATACAGCCTAGAAAATATTCTGCTGCTATATATTCTGGTAGAAGATTATCCATATAATCATGTGTGTTTTTACCTATATTTGTCTGGGCTTTTACTTATCACCAATCATGTTACTTGTATTAAGTACTAGCTTGGGGACCCGGCAATGCCAGAGTTATTTGAAAAAGGCATTGTTTGCCCGTTATTTGTGAGGGTTGCAGTGGTCTGTGGAGCCAAATTGGGTGAAGGTATTGCAAATCCCATCATCTGTGGTCAGTCCTCCCCCAAACTGCACCAGGGTGAAAAGTGGGTCATGGGGGGGGGGGGTTGTGTGCCAAGTTTGGTCCAGGTCCATCATTCTTGGGGGTTCGCATTGGCTTGTGGAAGTAGGAGCCAACTGGAAAGCAGGGAGAAACATAGCCACATACAAACATACATACACTGACTTTATAGATATAGATAGATAGGATAGGAAGTTCTAGTTATTCTTCTGGAATAGAGTGTTCAGAGGAATTGGTCAACAACTAAATAGACTGGTAAACTTGTTCCTGCTACACAAAATCTCTTACTTCTCAATCAGTAACAAGTAAAAACTATCAAGACAAAAGTCGATACATAGTGCAAAGTGTGAGCAAAGCTGCAGTGCAAATGTAATGTTAAGTATGTGGATTACATACTTAAAGAGAGCTGGTATTTTGTATTACACTACAGTGCAGGCAGTCCCCAAGTTACGAACAAGATATGCTACATCAAAATATGGTTTGTGCATTAGGTCTGAAAATGGTCGCACCCTTAATTTAGGCTTAAAATATAGAAAGGAAGTGTTAATGTGTCAAAAATGACCTTCCTCTTTCTCCATTCTTTCATTCTGACTTCTTTTAGCGGATGTCCATGAAAGTTTGCAGCAGCATCCTCGGGCACCTTCAGCTCATCTAAGCCCTTCCAAAGATGATATGAATTTTTTTTGTTCTTTATCTTCTGTTCTCTTATCTCCTTCAGGAGAAGATAAGCATCTTTTGATTAGCGACAGAGGACAACAGATACAGCCCTGTAACAAATTAAAAAACTCTTCCTCTTGGCAAAGTCCCGCTTTCTTTTGTACCATTTGCATTTTGAAATTTGGAACTGTGTCCTCTTTATAAGGTTGCAAAAAGGTTAGAAATTTTTAAGTAATTTCACAAAAAGAGCAATATTTAATATAATAGAAGGCAAATGTTCTAGTTTTAGAGTTCTTTTCTGCACAACATATTGTTGCCATCACAGTATTGAACTTTGAGTTTCCTTTTATATTGGTGCTTCAGGACATTGGAATTTTACTGAGTTTTTAAAATGAGGAAGATGGAAGAATGTTTACAATTAAAATTCTCAAGAGTTGATTAACATGTGGCAACCTTGTTTGCACCCTGATTTGTTCATATAATGTCCAGTCTGCAACCAGTATTTTTGTTTTTCCCAAGGAATTTGAAGTGGAAAATTGCCTTCATAGTTTCCTAGTGTCTGTTGCACCCCAGACCTGGAGCCACTTAGGATCATAGCACCACACAAGAGTCCAGAGTATAAGGAAACATATTATTGTAAAAACACACAAGCATATATAAAGGAAGCAGGAATAAGGAAAAGAGAGGTATAATCCAAACAAGGTTTAGCAATAGATGACAGCCACACAAGAATCCAAATGTTTCATAAAAATCCAAAGGTAAACCAGTCCAGGATTATATAAAAAAAACAAACACAGAAGAAATCCATAAGCAAAAGATACACATAATAAAACCTGAGTAGGAATCATAAAACAAGAACATAGAAAACTTCTGGAATACTTGAATCTAAAACCAAGACTTGACTTGACACAACGACTAGGAAATTCAGGCCAGACTTCTTACTCGAAAGTCAATGTGGCCTGAACGAACTTAAAATATAAACACCGGCTGTTAATAGGCAGTCATGAAATCATGTCTTTTCCCACAGATTTTCTCTATCTCTTTCCCATGTAATCTCGTGGACCTACAGAGATGGTTCTCAGCTCTGATCTTTAAATAGAGGCTTTTTCTTATTTCCTTAATGCCAGGTGCTTTCCTTTGAAAAATTTCCATTTTACTTAATTTGTCTTAACTCGACTCCTTATTTAATGATGTTGCTTCCGGCTCCTGTGACTGACCTTGGAGCTCGCCACTGTCTGGGGTAATTTCATTTCCCTCATTTTCCTGGCCTGAATCTTCAATACTTTCAAGCCCAGGAAATCCCACAATCTCTTCTAAATCATCAGTGAACTCATCAGCCCTGGCTGCTGAGCTACAGCAGTGTCTTAAATTGAAAGTGATCTCTTACAGGCAGTCCCCAAGTTACAAACAAGGTAGGTTCTGTAGGTTTCAGCAGTGGTCAGGGGAGCATTCGCACAATTAAAACTTGTGCGCCAGCTGCGTCCGTACCTTGGGAAGGCTGATTTGGCCACGGTAGTACATGCTTTGCTTACATCCCGCTTAGATTACTGCAACACTCTCTACGTGGGGTTGCCTCTGAAGACTGCCCGGAAGCTGCAGCAAGTACAACGCGCGTCAGCCAGATTACTAACAGGGGCTGGGTACAGGGAGCACACTACTCCACTGTTACTCGAACTCCACTGGCTGCCGATTAGCTTCTGAGCACAATTCAAAGTGCTGGTGTTAACCTATAAAGCCCTAAACGACTCCGGCCCTGTTTACCTCTCCGAACGTATTCTCCCCTACGAACCATCAAGACCACTAAGATCGTCTGGAGGGGCCCTGCTCTCGGTCCCACCGCCTGCACAATCACGGCTGGTGGGGACGAGGGACAGGGCCTTCTCGATGGTGGCTCCCCGGCTTTGGAACTCCCTCCCATTAGAGATCAGAACTGCCCCCTCCCTCATGACGTTCAGGAAACTAACAAAGACCTGGTTGTGGAACGCGGCATTTGACAACTGATTTAATTCTTTGCCCACATGAAAGGAGGATGATGAATGGGATTGTGATGGTGTCGGACGATTTGGCTCTTTTAACTGGGATGATAATGTTTTAATGTGTATGGTGCTGATATTTTAATCGTGTGATGAAGTGGCATTGTGTTGTTATTGTATATTCTTTGTATGTTAACACATGTTGTGAACCGGTCCGAATCCCTCTTTGAAGGTGAGAGGGTCGGTATATAAAACCTTGAAATAATAAATAATAATAAATAATTTGTTCTTAAGGAGAATTTGTATGTAAGTCAGAACAGGTATATCTTTTAAGTGTACGTCCATCCAGCTATCTTATCTATCTATCTATCTATCTATCTATCTATCTATCTATCTATCTATCTATGGATAGCATAGGGAAGGGTTAACACCCCTGTAATGTTCGCCTCACTTTCTCCCCCAGTGATAATTGGATTTTGAAAAAGTTGTATTATTGTGGAAACAAGGATTAGTCATAACACTTCAGTGGAGACACCCCTTCCCCATGATAACTCTTTCAGGAGTGAATTTCCCTTCCGAGGAGTAAAAACTTACTTGAGTTTGAAAGAGCTTGGTCAGCTACAATAAATACAGAAACAAAACCTGCTTTTTGTGTATGTATTAATCTTCCTCTTCTATGGTGTGCTTTACCTGTCAATAGTGAAATCCTCATCCAAATCATTAAATTGCATTTTTAATTCAGAGAAGTTTTGAATGTTTCAATGATTGAAGTACCTTTTATAATTGTGTGCCTTTGGGAAGTCACAGGCTTCATTTGGTTAGTGAGTAAATTCAAGCTGTACAGGCATGCTTTACTTTCCTTTCTCAGAGGCAAAGACCATTCTTACCTCAAAGCAGAAGTTAAGTATTATGTACACCTTTTAACTTTGGAATAACAGCACCATAGAGTATTGTTTTTGGTGGAGGGAAATGAACAGTCCATTACAAGTTTAGTTCTGACTTAAAAAAAGAAGGAAAGTTAATGTTTAAAAGCTTTGGAAAGTAGCAATGTTTATTTAAATATCCTTGTACTTTTCAGTTCTGTAATTTTAGAAAATCCTAAAAACGCAGATTTTTTGACATTAAATATAATATTACAAGGCTAGCTTTTTACTATCTCTGTGTATGGCATCATTCAACCTTCTTTTAATGAAAGGGCTCCTGTTGCTTGGAATTTTTCTCTCTACTACTTTATCTACTACAGTCCATTCAGTCGCGCCAGCCACATGACCTTGGAGGTGTTTACGGACAATGCCAGCTCTTTGGCTTAAAAATGGAGATGAGTCCTACCCCCCATAGTCGGACATGATAGACTTAATGTCAGAGGAAAACCTTTACCTTACTTTACCTGAAACAAAGTGTATAGAAGTGATCTTTTTCTGTGTTGATTTGGCTGGGATTTGGTTTCCTTACAAACATTGTGAGTCAAAGTTTTTCTGCCTTATCAGATCACCATCTCCCATCTGTTTGTTATACTGCAGTTCATAACAGTTTAGAGAGGACATCTTGGGCAAGAGGATCTCTAATTCTTAGCACTTGAAATTCATTCTGCACCAGAATAGCAACTGCATGTGCACTGGGAGCCTTTAGGTATCTCAGCAGACACTCTTTTTTGTCTTTCAGCTGCTGCCTTTTTTGTCACTTACGAATATACGAAAGCCTTGCTCCATACAGGTGGATCTCCATACTTAAGTCCGATAACACACATGCTGGCTGCCTCCTTTGGAGAAGTTGTAAGTAAACAAAAATAATAACATTTATTATTATTAAATAGATATTTATCTTGTCTTTAGTAATGGGGGAAGGGGTTAAGGAGAAGCATGCTGAAAGCTGAGGCTTATTTTCAAACTAGGATTTTTTCCCTTAATTAAAAACTAATGATTAATCAATAAAACTATAATTAGAACTTTCAGCCTTTTCTGCACAATTTCAAATAGGAGGACATAAGGGGCTGTATGGGGTGGGAAAAGAAAGGTGCTATTTTGTGCCCACTCTATGGCCAACCACTGGATCTATTATATACAAATGATACAAAGGAGGAAGGGTTCCAACTCTATGATTCTATAATTCTACTCTTCATGTCCCCAGCGATGAGACCTATCCTGGACTTTAGTAGGAAATGAGTGCTGTGTTCTGAATAAATCCTGTTCATTTTTTAATATTTCAGAATCTAATTGAGATCGTTTGTGATATACAGATGGCAGATATTCTGCCAAGCTCCATGCAGTTGAACACATTGTTAGAGAGGTTGTAGGGACTTGCTGCCATTTGCTGCCATTAGGACCTGTGCAGAGAGTACACAGAAGGAGGATGGTTATGTTGGAAGAAAACTCAAATTAAGGCTACAGCTGGAAATTGCCTGTAAATAAAGATGAATGGAAGTAGAGAACTGCAAACTCTGCCAGCAGATTCATCACACAATTAAAGGCTTTAAACCAGCAAATTATGAACTGTCAGATACCTAACCAGCTGCCCATACAGTCTTGCATGCATACATTCTCATACATTATTGTGACCCCCTTCCGGATGTTTTTTCCCTGTTAATATTTCAGTTTCTACGGCAAACTGTCTGCCTGTGAATTTCTGTTCTCTTCCAGCATTCAAATGCTACACAACAAGATTTTCTTTTTGCTTTTTGGCAAACAGCAGAATAACTTTGTTAGGCAATTTCTAATGAGAAAGAGAATCGAAGGATGCACAGATCAGAACTGAGCAAACATTCCTGACAACTCCTGCAAGGTATCCTCTCCTAATCCCAGCGTGAAGAGTAAGCACTTTATAGGATACATATTAAGAGATATCTTGCAAATTAGTTGTCATGTGCCTTTGTCATTCTCCTTCATGGAGATCCTTTAATTGGGTTTTTCTGGCAAGATTTATTCATAGGAGAATTAGGAGAGGAGATTTGCCAAAGTCATCCAGTGGGTTTCTAAGGATGAACCAGGAGTCATACTCTGATCTACACTGTAGAATTGATGCAGTTTGACAGCACTTGATAGGGCGATACTATGGAATCCTGACAGTTATAGTTTGGTAAGGCACTAGGTCTCTTCGGTAGAGAAGGCTAAAAATCTTTAAAAACTATAACTCCCTTGATTCCATGGCATTGAGCCAAGGCAGTCCTAGTTCAACATTCAAAACAGTATGTCATATTATTGCAATGCATAGTAGCCACTAAAAAAACCACCTCCCAGAATACCACAGGTGTTTTTCAAGTGGGAATATCTTGAATCCCCAAATTCTTAAAAAGATTTACTCCAGGAGTTTCTTTCAACATAGAGAGAAAGAGAGAACATATTATATGTTGTATATATGTATATGTATACAAACCACTGCTGTAACAAAGTTGATCTTTCAGATTATCATTTCTGATCACATCCCAGCCTGCTTCACCTGATTAGGAGATGAGCAGATGTGATTTAAAAAAAGGGTGATTGATGGTATCAGTCTGTGATTGAAAGTTCGTGTGCAACAATGATGAAGGGGGTGGGGAGATGTTTTCAAAGTATACTGGATTAGAAAGGTGCTTGGGATCATGATCAGACAGGCTGCAGTGCTAAAGTACAAGTGTACTCCTCCTTAAGGTTGTGGATTATAGCTCTAACTAACATAGAGCATTAGTCCAGCAGCATCGGAAGGACTACACTTTGTTCCCTTGTGTTAAGGTATGTTTTTCATGACAGTGAACAGATTCCGATTACTGCCTCTCATTCTTCTCTACCACCTAGTAAAATAGGCAACTAGTACAGTTTTGGCCACCCAAGGCCATGGCAGAGAATTTGGAAAGTGTAGAGATATATAGAAATGAGAACTAGAGCTGGATAACCTTTGACAACATACAGAGTTGGATAGTTTGAATCACTATACACGTCCTCTTGTTTGGTGTTAACTGGAAGGTTCTCTTAGTAACCTGGTTCTCAAAATAAAAGGTTCATCTTCCTGAGAGTCATTTACTGGAGTCCCCGGTGGCTCAGTGGATTAAACCCTTGTGCCGGCAGGACTGAAGACCAACAGGTCACAGGTTCAAATCCAGGGAGAGTGCGGATGAGCTCCTTCTATCACCTCCAGCTCCTCATGTGGGGACATGAGAGAAACCTCCCACAAGGATGATAAAACATCAAAAAAACATCCGGGCGTTCCTTGGGCAACGACCTTGTAGACGGCCAATTCTCTCACACCAGAAGCGACTTGCAGTTTCTCAAGTCGCTCCTGACACAACGATTTTTTTTTTACTGGAGGTCTTTGATATCAGTACAAAAGGTTTTTCTGGCCCATTAGAGCCATGGCCATTTAAGATTTGATTGGCCTTAGAGGTTCAGTGTTTCAGATAGATGATACGTTAGCTCTGTCTGGAGATGCCAGGAATTTAATCACGGTCCTTGTACATTCAAAGCCCATTTTATTTTCATTGATTCAAAATCTTTCCTTGGCTGTTGCCTGTGGTTTTCCTTAAAACAGACAGGGGACTATTTAGTTGATAGGTTGGCAGATGTTGGAGACGTTGATGTTACTGTTCTACTGTTGGTACTACTTTTTCTCTGATTGAAGTGGTATTAGAATTTTTTCTTCCCAGTGCAGAAGATGGCATGCATGCAATGTATTGCTTCATCTTGTCTTATGTGTCACATCAACAACTCCTCTCAATCATTTTAGAGAGTCCTGTTGATATTGATAGTCTTTAGGGGCCATTTCTGCTTTTCTTATCCTCTCTCTTCCAAGACCTAAATATTTTGGCTTACTGCTGGATGGCACTTTAGCATTCACTCCTCATGCAGGTACTTATTTTGCTCAGGATGCTGCAAGGTTTAATTTAAAGTATGTAATCCATTTTATTCTCCTTTCATTAAAAAGTACTTAGGAAGCTTTTTTTATTAATAATATTATTACAAAGTGTAAGCTATTATGCAAATGGTGCTTTGAGGAAAGCATTGGCAATCTGCAATGTACTCCCCTTACTGCCATGTGGAATAGTAATTTGCTTGGCGCACACTAAGATTGCTGTTATGGTTGCATCCAGGAACAATCTCATCCAGTATTTCCATTCTTAGCCAGCAGTAGAAATGAAAAGTAGTCCATAAAGATATTGTTCAAATACCAATGGGAAAATTCTGTAGGAAAAAACTTATATATTGGCCGTGTGTTCTTAGATTTTTGTTTTGCCATGGTCTTGCTTCAGACAGCACATCCCCTTGCCAGCTATATTGTGTTAGTATAATTTATCTCAGTATTCAGCAGCATCTTGAGTTTCCTGCCTTTTATTTAGAAGAGCTCTTCTTAACCTGTGATCTGCAGACCCAGGGATGGCAATGTCCACACAGAAGATCTGTGAAGGTTTGAAGAGGTGTTCCAAGCTTTCATTTAAAGTTCTTGGTTGTTTACACTTTGACAAGTGAAGGAGGCCACCCTCTCTGCTCGTTTCCAAACGAAAACCCAACAAAATACTGGGATTTACACTGAGGGAAGAGGTGCAAATGTTATTACATACTTCAACTCAACTTGGACATAATTGAGTGACCTGGAATGAGTGGGAGATTCATTGTTATAGAAATGTAATCTTTTGTTAGCTCTGACCTCTTCAAGTCGTAGGAATACCATCCTTCTTTTGAAGGAGACTTGCTCAGGAAAAAGCAGGCAATGAGGCAGAACTGTTTAAAAAATAGCTATACCTCCATAGAAGAGCACTTTGCTCACTGTGGAGTAATTTCTTCCACTTTGGGTGGAAGTCAAAACCACAAGTGTGGCGGGATGACTGTGAATGTTAAACATAATGGGGCACAAAACAGAACCCCGAGGGACCCAACAGGCCAATGGCAGGGCATCCACAAAGACTCACCAGTTCCATCTTTAGAGTATGCTCCTCCAAGAGAGACCAGAATCAGTGCCCTCAACTTCCATCCTAGCGAGTTGGCCAAGGAGGACACCATGGTTGATGGTATCTAAAGCTGCTGAGATGTCAAGCAGAATCACCAGATGCATTACAGTTATCCAATAAGGCAACCAAAACTGTCTCCGTTGCATAACCAGGCCTGAAGCCAGATTGAAATGGCTTGATTATCTGCACTTGCAATTCATAATGGCACCTAAGTATAGTGATAAAGCTGAAAGAACCTCTAAGATTCTCAATTTACAAGAACAGCTAGAGCTAATCATATTTAGTGAAAAAGGCATGTTCACAGCTCATATAGGCTCCAGGCTAGGAGTACCTCGCTCAAAAGTTAGTACAGTTATTATGAATGAGGCCAAAATGTTAGATGAAACTAAAAGTGCTATGCTAGTGTATACTAAAGTTGTTAGAAAATGAGGCAACCTAATTCCTGACATGGAAAAACATTTAAATGTGTGGATTTAGGCCAAATCAGGAATCATATTCCTCTAAGCACAGGTATTATCTGGGCCAAAGCCCTAAGTCTATTTAATAAAATGAAGGCTGAAAGAAGAGAGATTTAAGACAAGACCAAATTTGCATAATATAAAAGTGCAGAGAGAGCAGCAAATGCAGCTACAGAGATGTACCCTGTAGTAATTGGGAATATTAGAAGATGGTGGAATAGAAAGCAACAAATTTTCAATGGGAGTGAAAATGGCCCTATATTGGAAGGAAATGCTAATTAGAATTTTTATTCCCCCCAAAAGAGAAATGTGTGCTCGCTTCAAACCTAGGGGCTAATACAGTTGGTAACTGCAAACTGAAGCCTATGATTATATGCCATTCAGAGAATCCTAGGGCCCTTAA